CACATCCTAATGATTTACCAATCTATACCTCCACGTGTGCATTTTATGAATTTGAAGTCTCAGGCAACATTAAAACAATTTTCTATCATAGTGGTTACAGAACCATTAACTCAAACCAGGGTCTGATGCCATCATTGATATCTGGTGAAGAGGTAGCCAAAGACCTGCAAAAAGTACAGGACCTCCTGAATAAACTGTACTATTAGCTCTGGGGTATGTATATTTGTGCCCTGTCATTTACTTTGTGTTACCTGATGTCACCAGTCATGAATAAATAACATCAGCCTGATTATCTGAGTTATTTGCCTCACAACAAAAGCAAAAGCAAAGTGAACTTATACAAACTTAACCAATGCAAAACGAAAGCGAAATATACTGTACCGAAGCAGAATGAACAAAACCAACGGAAACGGAAGCGAGTAAACAGAACCTCAGCCAAACGTACAGGCTGAGCTGAATCAAAGTGAACCAAAATTGAGTGAAGTAAACTCAATCAAATGGTTCAAAGTAAACCAAAGCTAAAAAAAATTAACCAAAATAAAAATCCCTAATACAAATTAAGGTGTTTAAAAGACTAACAAAATCATTCAAATTAACAAGGTACCTAACAAATGGTTCTAAACAAAATTACCATTGAGGTGTTCGGTAGGATAAATATGTTGTTCACTGGTCCCTTGGGCCCATGGGTTGATGTACCCTCGATGTTTCTTTATGTTCCCTTTGGGCTCAGGGAACATAAACAAACATCGAGGGTACATCAGCCCATGTCCCCCTCAAGACCAGTGAACAACTTATGATGTATATGTATGTGTTCAATGAACCTATGCACTTGTTATATGCACTAGCACATGTGTATATAATAGCTCAAACATTACCTTATATCCTAACATATACCCAGATATCATTTGGTCGTTGGCAATGTTGGCAAAACCGTTGCCAACATTGGGCCAACGTCTGAATGCTATCTGGGTATATCCATATATGATATACCCATGTACATTGTGTAGTCCAACGCAAATAGCATCATTCCAGGTCACGACAGTTGTTTTTTTTCCTATGCACTAACAAACTAAAAATTTATTTGCAGGGAAATGTATCTCTATATATTTACTTCATGTACATTTCATTTGTATGTACTTCGTACACTTGAAAACATCAGAAAAAGTTTTATATATATTTTGATGGCAAGCTAACTCTCATTTGTTTTGCATTTTTATAAATGTCTGCATGGAATAATGGACAAGGCAACTCCAAAATCAGGATGTGGAACCAATGCCTTCTTGCACCTCCATCACTTCAAGATGAACCAGTACAGTGCCAAGACCAGCCAGATTCCACATCCAGACACCCACATGACAGCAGAAAGAACCTGTGCCCATATACTAGAGAGACAATAATAAGTTTAATACGATTGTCCATTAACTAAAAGTTTGTATCATTGTCCATCCAAGAAATTATTTTTCCAAGTTTGACGACCAAACTTTTTCAGACAGCGGGGAAGTTATCATGGAGTATTAATTCATACAAAAATTCATTTTTAATTATTACCACTACAAGCGATATATATTAGGATTCAAATATTAGGAAAATATGAATACAGAATATTAGTTTCATCATGATCAGTAACAGCTTAGAGGAAGACAACAGTTTAAAGTAATAAAAATTCCCTTCACAGACATACTATTCAAAAAGGTATAAGTTATGACTACACAGTTCAAAGATGTTTCCACACCTAAGGCAATAAGGACACAACTACAAAAGCTATGTCTAGACGATTTAATACACTGCTTTGATAAAGTAAACATGTCATCACCTATAGTAAAATAACATTGTGCAAACACCTTAAATTATGGTCATTAAGCCATGGCTCAGAGTAAGCGCATCTATTGTAATACCATAATCATCCAAGCAATATGTCAACACAATTAGTGCCAGTTAGATTAGGAAGCATCCAGGACATGTGTCAACACAATTAGTGCCAGTTAAATTAGGAAGCATCCAGGACATGTGTCAACACAATTAGTGCCAGTTGAAATAGGATTAGCAGGAATAAGTACTCCCCTCTGTCTGGTCATTACAGTAGCTATTGTAGGACACACCCCATTCTGTATTTCATTGGTTATTGTAGGACACACCCCATTCTGTATTTCATTGGGTATTGTAGGACACACCCCATTCTGTATTTCATTGGTTATTGTAGGACACACCCCATTCTGTATTTCTTTGGTTATTGTAGGACACACCCCATTCTGTATTTCATTGGGTATTGTAGGACACACCCCATTCTGTATTTCATTGGTTATTGTAGGACACACCCCATTCTGTATTTCATTGGTTATTGTAGGGACACACCCCATTCTGTGTCATTTCATTATTTCATTATATTGTAGGACACACCCCATTCTGTATTTCATTGGGTGTTATTGTAGGACACACCCCATTCTGTATTTCATTGGTTATTGTAGGACACACCCCATTCTGTATTTCATTGGTTATTGTAGGACACACCCAATTTTGTATCAGTCAACAAATCAGAATCTTTTCATTGTTTCAATTCTAGATAAATAGTTTGAAAATCAAGTGTTAGTCAGTAGGGTTTAGACTCCCAACACAGGTCATCTCTAGTCCTCAGCCCAGAGGGTTGTACCGACTCTCTGTGGCCACCCCATGTTATTCTGTCTCTTGTTAATAAAATTGTAATTAGCTTCTTGTGACTTCGGACTCATTGCTGAGCTAATTCCCCATAAGCAGACCAGCAAGCCAGTTAGAAAAGGTTAGAAACTGGGATCCAAAACCCTTATCATAATAGAATTATCCTTTGCGGTCGTCTTACAGTTGCAGCACGCTCTATCATGCTGTGCATGGCTTGCTGTGGGTTGGCATGTCTTTTGCTACGTGTCCCGAGTGCGGTATGATAGAGCTGTCTTGATTGGTTTACTGATTCATTTGGGGCCAACGGATAACTGGGGAGATATTTGGCTAGGGTCAATGGTTAACTCACGGGCTATAAGGGCTTCAGGACACCCTGATAAGATAGTAAGTCAATTTACTGGGAGGTCTTCCTCTTTTCCCTGGTTATAATTTTTTTCAGCTTAAATTAGAATTAAAGGGTTTATTTTATAGGAATGTATTAAGATACTTGGTTTTGGCTAATCAAGATTTCCTTGTAAGTGTGTGTGGGAAAGAGATGGATTTATTTTGTAAAGTTTGGTTCAATTTATTTTTGTTAGGGAATAAATTGTATTTATTTGGTAATTCTTGAATTCTGTTGTCATTTCACAGAAAACTCTTGGTTATGCCTTCAACTGCCATAGAACCATAACCAAGGTTTATAGAAAGGTTCTAAGATCTAAAAAAAATTACACAATGTAAAGCCCATTACAGAGACTGAAAAGATCATTGAACCTTTGTACTATATAAACCTTACTGTCACCTACCTTGATGGAGGTGCCTATTACATATGCAAAGCATAGATGGAAACACAAAAGAAACAGTCAGACAACTGTTCATGCCATACAAATAAAGAACAAAAGTCACATGCCTGAGTGGCATGCCCAGATACCTATATGCATTGTTGAATGCTATTGATCCAACTGTCAATCCTCTCAAATGTTGATACAATCTCAAGGACTGTCTGATCCTGTTGACTGCTCCTAAAACTAATTCTAACCCTCATTCCTTTGATTTCTGAAATGAATGTCTCATAATGTTGGTCACTCTTGATCCAACTGACTATCCTCCAGATCATTTGGACGTTACCTCAAGTGTTTGTCCCATTTTTTTGTCGATTGCTTCTGAACTGTTGATCCCTGTGACCCTATGATCATGAAGGTGATTGTCTGATACCATCGACAATTCACTGGTCTATTGCTGATCATTATCATGATCCCTTCTGAATGGTGACCATTTTACCTGTGTGTTCCCTAATTATGGTGATCATCCCCTGCCGACTGACCCCAAGAATGCAGTTGATCCTTGTTCACATTATCTTGCCAACCATTGAAGTTGAACTGTTTCTTCACTTACTTGGGGGATGCGTCCCTGCTTTCACTTGTCCATGGTCATGCTCCTCAAATGAAGGAGAAAGTGATTAACTTACCCCAGCTCTAGAGGGCCTTGCCACAATGGAAGCTAGTGTAGAGGATAAGGGAAAGCAAATATCCAGTGTGGGGAATGAATCAGATGATTCCTGCCCCACAAGTAGACTGGGACTATGCAAGGCCCATCAATCTGTGTGATGCACCACTGACAGTAGCACCTGTCTAATTGGCAATTTCATGGCAATCCCTTGACAGAATGTGTACAGGATGACAACAACAGATTAACAATCAGTTTCATGTCTCGGACATTTCCTGAGATACATGTTCATCTCCAATCAGTTGTACTAACAGAGAGAATGGCTAGATAGGGGAACTCAAAGGGCTCACAAAGAGCATGCAGAACACTGTGAAAGGTCCATTGCTATGATGCTGGGAACATCCAGGACATTTGTTCTAAGATTCATTTCAACTCTGCAATGTGCAGAATTAACATTTTCAGGATTGGATAAGTTAAAATATGCAGCCATTTAAACCTACCATTTTTATTGCAGAATCAAAATCACTATAAAAATGTAGATAACTGTCATGCCAACACTATCTGTAATTCATTTTATGTTTATTTTACTTCCCTTCTTTAAATTCATGTATCTGTGAAGCACTTCCAAGCATAAGTTGGCTATATGATAGACTCATTATGACTTACACATATACATGCACTATGCTTGAGCTTCATAATTACTATCATAAATGTTGAGATCACCCTTCCAAATTAGACACATCGTTGACAAAAATTATGCCTGATGCAATTACCTATTTTGGATTGTATGCTTGTTCTTGTTGGTGATGGGGCAACCAATGGGACAGGATACACATTTTTTAATAGTGATTCATAAACACATATGATATAGATGGAACAACATTTTTGTAGATTGTGAATATATCTTATAATTATTTCCTTACACCTGAAACTGATTGCCGCAGGTGACATTCTGTCAACATCAGCATATGCCATATATCCAGCTATGTCTCTTGCTGGATCTTTCATCTGGAAAGCAGCAGGTAACACTTCAGTCATGCAGCCTGTACTGATCCTGTGAAGCTTCTCTGCATGAGGTTTGATCACAAGTTTGGTATCAGGAGGCTCACTGGTGAATTCTGTATGAGGGGGGCTTCCACTCTCCATATCATTCAGACACCTTCAACATAAAACATCAACACTTGGTTGGAGAATTCTTAACCTGGAATCAAGGTCCTCAGACTGGTAGTCACCTTGAGAACATTGACCTAATACATAAACTTTGATGAAACATGTTTGGTTAATTCATTTCAATCAGACGATGTGAATGTATTCACTGTTTAATGAAATTAAATAAAACCAAAAACCAAAAATAATACCTATCAAATGTGACAAACAAATATGAGAATCACTTCGAAATTGCTTCTTGCACAAGTTTACAGCTGAGTACCATGCACCTGACACATGAAGCCAAGAAATAAATATTGGTTTTGATTCTCTAGGTAAATTTACATATTCTGAAAAACTCAAACTCCATTGTGCAGTTGATGTTTTCAAGAGTCGCAAGAAACAATTTAATCCATTCGAAGAAAAGTAACCATCTCAACATTTTCAGATCAAGGTTGAAGGGTTAAATTTGAATGAATGGTGACTATAAACACATATGAAAAAGGAATTCTCTGGTTATCCCTTCTATCTTTTTATATTGTTACTTTATACTTTTGTCTTCATGGGGCCTTCATTTTAGGCACTAACCAGTGGTGGAGCCGGGGAAGAGAAATCAGAGGGTTCAACCCCCTTTTGAAAATGACTTAAGACCACATTGAAAATTTGGGGGCATTGGCGGAGCCAAGGGGGTTCAGGGTTTTTAACCCTGAACCCCCTTTCAAAATTCCTGGATCCGCCCATGCTAACCATTCAACAATGACATCCTCCAGGGTATTGCTCTGGATAAGTTTAGAAAGATATTCCATGGAATGTCTTTTGCTTGAGCTTCAGAATTACTATGACACCAATGTATGACATCAGTGCCTAAACTGTGTATTTTGGCTGTCATCACACTATACCCAAAATTAGGATTAAAACAGAAATCCTCTGTAACAGTTGTGTAACAGATAGTACCATGCTTGCCAAAAAACTCACTTCTTTCCTGAGCATTTACTACTGTCAGCATCCACACATGTGAGCTGTCATAGCACATTATTTGATACATTTGCACAGTTTCTTGGCTGGTAGTGTTGGAGAAAACAACATGGCATCATGATTCTTTCAGTTGGTAAGATGAATGAGCTCTCTTGTGCTGTTAGGAGTTCCAGTCAACTACATGGATAGTTATTTGCATCCATAGTCAAGTAAATAGTATGAAACATGTGACACCAATCATCTATCAACTCACTGTAAATGGCTTGAAGGAGACATTATGAATAAAACAGTTTTTGAAATATTTTAAATAATAACAACAAGTACACATTGCTGAACATCTAAAAAGGAACAATCAACTACCCAGGTCCTACATCAACTATGTTTGCATATCAAAATCCCATCCTTGACCAAGGGGTAGTTGTGACGTCATAGTGCTGACACTTATGCCAGATTCTTTTGTTTGCAGTGCATTAAAACATGCTAAAATTGAAGTTTTTATTGTTCCCAAGGGTACATCGTTACACACCAGTTCATATTTTTGAGAGTTTGTAAGTCAGAATTTGAAATTCACAGTTTAGGGTTTTGACAGAGTTCAAAATTACGTACCGAATATAGAGTATAGGTTTATTGTTGAGAATATAGATCGCCATTTTGTGTCATGATTTTGAAGGCTATTAATTTTAGTTGCACTGAACTTTTCCACATTGAAAATTTCTCTCAAAACAAACAGGAACCTTTGAACTATGTTGATTAATTCCACATAAATGGATATATTTTTGGGCAGTTAGGATAATATGATTTAATAGTCTATCACTGTATAATGTTCCAAACCAAACAAGGTATGTTGTTATTTTAATTGTGTTCTCAATATGATTATTCATCCAAACTTCAAGTTCATTTCAGAATGTATGTGTTTCTCTACATTCCCAATATACATGACCAATACTCTCATTCAGCTGACCGCCTCCATGGTGTAGTGGTTAGAGTGTCCGCCCGGAGAGCGGAAGGTCGCGGGTTCGATCCCAGACCTCGTCATACCAAAAGACGTTAAAATACTTGTTGGTCCCTGTCTGGCGCTCGGCATTAATGGGTACAACAAGGACTGGTCGGCTCGGAGTCAGTATAATGTGTCTGAGTGGGGTATTCATGCTTCACTGCGGCATGGTATCTCAGTGGGCTGGCACTATAAAACCAGCTTCAGTCTGGGCTAGTACAAGCAGCCGCACATACACATACACACGCATGCATGTAGTCATATGAGTGAAATATTCTCAAGCACGACGTTAAACCCAATTTCACCTCACCTCACCTCATTCAGTTCATGTTTGGCCGAAGGACTTGCTCAAACACCTCCCGTTCATGGACAGTCTAAAACATTCGAGCGAACGCAAATTGAAATTGACATTTTTTCTACTGCAACCCATGCAGATTAGCACGTGGATGCTTCACTTCGGTTCTTGACTTGGATGGGAGCAGTCACACTTTGGTGACGTCTCCTTTTGTGTCTTTCTGATATAATTGAATGAATTTGAAGTAACTTTTGAATATTTTGTGTCTAATTTGTAGACATTATTTGAGAAACTTGGAATTTGATAGTTATTGAAGAATTCATTGAACACATTAGAGATCACACATTTGGTGTCTCTTTTGTGTAGTGTCGTATTTGGACATGCTTTTGTAGAGTTCATATTTTTGGACACGCCATTGAACAGTGCTATATTTGGACACACTCTCATAGTGTCATATTTGGAGACACATCTAGTGTCATATTTGGACACGCTCTTATAGTGTCATATTTGGAGACACATCTAATGTCATAATTGGACACACCATTATTTCTGTAAATGTATTTGTACATATTAGGGATTATAAACTCTTGGGAATAAAACTGAAAAAAAATATTTTCAGAAAAGTGCTCTGTTGTCCTTTGACTACATATTTATCAGCTTCCACTGCGCACCAATTGTCAACAAGTTTCAGTTTAAATAGTTCATTTTTAGTATATTAAAAACTTGTATTAGAAATCAAGTAGTTTCACATCTTTCAAACCATTTCTGTAAGTCATAAAAATCTGATTCCAATCGAAAGTAACATTAGCAAAAGATGCTTGAATGGCTGCAAGAGTTGTATGATCCCCAGGGAGTTGAGATTGAAAAATTTGACACCCTATAATCGAGGGATGAGCTGGATATTGGCGCTATACAAATATTAATATAATAATAATAGCAATAATAATAATTGATTGGCAAGATTCAGGAAAAGCATACTAAGTATGCAGACCTCGCCTTTGAAATGTCTCGCTTGCATCCCAAGTACACTGTCGTCAGGCTCCCCATTGTTCTCAGGGCCCTTGGTTTGGTACCTCCTGATCTCTTGGAGCAGATCAGAAGAGTGCGCGGGTTCTCCACCAGGAGTACAGCCCTTCTGACACTGCAGAAGGCTGCAGTGTTGGGGAGCCTTCATTTCTCCGGAAAGTTCTTGGTGGGTTCGACTAGGCAGCATTTCCTGGGAGAAGTCCCATTCGGTGTCTGGGCTGCGTGTAGATGGGGCAAGGGCCCTGAGCTGATGATGAGCCTTACCAGCCTGACTGTGCCAGGATAACCCAAACCCTCTCTGCTGCATACTATCTTTAATCTGTTAAACATAATAATATGATAATAATAATAATAATGAGCATCTTGTGGAAGATCAGGCCTACACCTATCTTGGAATGCAAGTTCGAGACAAGCTCCAGAGTGCCAAAATTCAAGACAAACTTCGGGCCGAGTACAAATCTCGCTTGAAGAAAATCCACACTGCACTCATTGTCATCCACTCATCAGTCTTGCTTTGTCTATTATGTATACTTTGCAAAGTCAATCCCAGCAATCTATCATCACAACAATTTTAAAGGTCTGCATATAAGGACATTTAGCATTAATTCGCTAAATAGAAACAATTACATGTATTGTTAGTAACTGTCAGTAAACTTACCTCTGGATTATGGTAACCTCTATTCCTGTGGTTCCACAGATACATACAGAAAAAGAAAATGAAATTTTAACACTAAGTCATAGCTATTCCTAGTGGTATGCCTAATACCTCCCTTGATCATGACGTCACTGTATTGTTGTTTGAAAACCCTTCAAAAAATTTCTGAAAATAAATGGTACACGTGACATCTTATGAGGTGAATCGGGAGGGTAATAGATCCCATAATCCAGAGGTAAGTTTACTAACAATTACTAACAATGCATGTAATTGTTCCTAATTATAATGAAAACATTCTCTCTGGATTATGGTAGCCTGAATCCCATGTATGGAAAGAGGGTCCCCCTAAAAAGATAATTCCCCTCATACCACTAGTTTGGTAGTGATCCTACAACCCCTAAGAATAACTATAACTTAGTGAGAGATAACCATAAGTTATCTCTATATTGGGTCAGTAGTAGTGAGGAATGAATTTCTTTGGTATTGGTGAGCCTTCTAACTTCCCTTTCCTTATATGGTTGGCGATCTAGACACTACTCTGACTTAATCTGAACTTATGCTGTCACATCCAGTCCCATAATGTCACACCTGGTCTTGTGACATCACTTCCGGTTCTTATGACATCACTTCCGGTCTTATGGCGACATTTCTGGTGTCTATGACTTCACTTCCAGTCTTATGACGTCACTTCCGGTTTCCTGTACCAGTTCCCAAATTGATGATAACATCACCATATTCTCTAAATAACTGATAATTTAAAAGCTTGCCTTGCCCACAAATGTGCTTGGTTAGCAGGTTCTAATGAATCATAAGCTCCTTAACGTGACATCTTCAGCAATCTGTAGTATCCTTCCTCCATAGTTCCATTTCCATCTGAATAGTCTCGTCTCTAGGTCACTGGTTCCAACTTTTACTCTGATCCAATCCGAAAGTGTACCTCCCCTTGTCTCCACTGCATAAATTGTCCCCACTTAGCGTCATACATGGCAGCCGTGGATGGTCTGATGGATTCTGAGATAGCCTTGGTAGCTCCCACCAAGAAACCCTGTTCCTTAAGGGAAGTGGAGA